GTGACCTTAGCTGTGTGAGAAGCTACATTTTCTATCCTTTCTTGCTACTAAAAGTGACTCATGCATCTAGATTATTGTTTGGGACTCATGGAAGTGATATGAAAGGAACACGTTGCCAGCATGTGTCATTGCCTGCCTTACCCCTCTTTCCTCTTCCTTTCTGCTTGGACTATGGATTTGATGTCTGGAAATACAACAGCTATTTGGATGAGTAGAACTTTAAGAACCATCTTAGGCAAGCGATAACTTCAAGAAGGGAAGCCACATATTAAAGATGGAAATAAAACATGGAACAAATCTAGGTCCATAATGACCCCATGGAGTTTCCATACCAACTGGATTGTTAAACTCTTTCATACGAGGGAGAAATTAGTCTCCTACAAGCTGTGTAAAGCGGATTTCCACTATAGAGTGTAGAACAAAAATCTCAAAATGCCAAAATTCCCTTAGAAAGTCCTTTAAATCTCCCATAGAATACAGTAAAGTAGCGTAGGTCCTGAATAGATTACAGGCATGCAGAAATCTTGAGCCCTTTAATTCTTGGGGCCAGTCAAGAAAATAGACAAAGTGGGAATCTATCCTTACATTGTTACAAATTAGTATTTGCCCTTCAGAAATTATCTGCATTGCTTTCAGAAATGGTAATTCAGAAATTAAAAATCCTGTGTGGTATGAAAAGAAAAATGTTGGGAAGCACCAGTATCCTGAGAGCTGGTGGCAACATATGCATATATACTATACGTATGTGTATGTACATAGATGGGATTACAATGTATGATTCAATTTTTACTTTTCACAGGCAATGCTATTGCTTCAATTGTATTACTTAACTTTTATGGCTTTCAATTAACAGTTCAACTTTTTTCAAGCCTCTTGAACAGCAGCATGGCCATCCTGACTACGCGAGCAGGGTGGCTGGGATAGCTTTAAAATCCTTCATACCTTCTTTCCATAGGTTTTAAGTGAGCTAAGCTTGAATACATCTGCATGTATGTGTTCTTTAAGCAGAATTGTTTTCTTTTCTTCTTTTTTTTTTTTTGCATTTGATTTGGTCCATCACACATCTAAAACTGAAGTCATGCTGCCATGTGGTTCTGTCAAGCTGTGGTTAAATGGAGCTCTGAAGATAATGGCAAATGCAGGCGTTCTGGAACTCAGAGATCTCTAAGGAATGTTACCATGTTGCTAAGCTGTGTGATGTATCTTCACAACCAGGGAGCCACATAGGGTCCTTGGAGCAAGAGTGGGAGAACCTGGAGAGAGATAGCTGTATTCTTTTGGAAGCATTAGACATTAGACTGTCGCTGCCAATTAAAAACTCCCTGCTCAAGTGCAAACATTTAAGAAATTTAAGGACAATTCAGTATAGACCTATTTTGAGACTTGAAGGGTATCAACAGCCTTGAGTTCCTGTCGACCAGACTGCCTTCTTTTAAAACTGTCCTCAGGTACAACTTTAAATACTGTAGACGATTTAAAGATAATTTTTAAAACTTTCAAGTTCATCTTCTCAAGACTATGTAAAAGCCAAATAAGACTGTTTTGAGGAAGTGAAGTATCTTTTAGAGTAGCCACCTATTTTGAGGAGATCATACAAATAAATATATTAAGTTTGTGAGATAAAGACATTTATTTTGTGGGAAACATTTAAGTTCATTTAAAAAAAAACTGAGCATAAACTATGTGATAGGTACTGGGGATACAGAGGTGGAAAATTGGACTAGAGAGAAGCATAAAATAAAGAAATTTAAAAATGTCAGGGGTGACGCACTATGAAGACAGCTTAAGGAGGATGGAGTAGGGAGTGACTGAGGCTGGGATGGTGGTGGGAACTACTTTAGAGAAGAGTAAGGAAGCCTGTGGAGAAAGTCTCTTTATAGCGACAGCTACAGGCAGCCATGGGAGATCTCAGTGTCCTGCACTCTAGGCTGGTAGGCCTGAAAATGTAAAATGGTTCAGCCTTCATCACCTAATTAGTAATCTTTGCATCCCTAGGGATTTATTGTAACTTTCAGCTGTCCCCTGAGCAGATATAATATTCTCCTTTAGTAAGCATAAATTTTGCATATGTGCTATTTTGGACCTAGAATATTAATATTTAATGCAGACGTGTGGTATTTTTCTAAGTAACAATAGCCAGAGTTAGAACTAGAAGGATTACTAATGCTTTGAAAATCACCTATTTTGAGGATTTTGAGTTTTAAGTGAAATTCAATAATTTACTAATCTCTACTAATAAAAGGGTAATATACAAATTGGTCAGGATGCCCTCTCAGTAACAACTGAACAGCAGGCTGCATGGGGCGACCAGATTAGTAGGGGGGGGGGGGGGAGTGAGGGGCAAGCAGGCTGGAAGAAGGGGAGCAGTTGGGGGGCAGTTTTGGGGGTGGCCAGGTCATCAGGGGGATTAGTGAGGGATGACCAAATGACTGAACAGCAGGCTACACGGGGTGACCAGGCCAGCAGGGGGACAGTTGAGGGTGGCCAGGCTGGCAGAAGGCACTTTGGGACAGCCAGGATGGCAGGGGGGTAGTTGGGGGGTAACCAGGCCAGCAGGGGTGTTAATAAGGGATGAACAAGCAACTGAACAGCAGGCTGTGTGGGGCTACCAGGCCAGCAGGGTGACAGTTGGGGGGAGACCAGGCAAGCCAGCGGGAAGGGGGGGGGGGCGGGGGGAAGGGGGGCAGTTGAAGGGATGGCCGGGCTGGTAGGAAGGCATTTTGGGTGCAGCCAGGCTGGCAGGGGGGCAGTTGGGGGACTGCCAGGCCAGCAGGGGGATTAGTGAGGGACGACCAAACGACTGAATAGCAGGCTGTGTGGGGCAACCAGGTTGGCAGGGGGACAACCAGACCAGCAGTGAAGGGCAGTTGGGGGTGTGATCAGGCTGGTGGGTGGGGGGCAGTTGGTGGTGACCAGGCCAGTGGGGGGTGGAGGATGGGGGTGACCAGGCCAGTGGGGGGGGCAGTTGGGGGCAACCAGATTGGCAGAGGAGGGCAGTTGGGAGTGACCAGGTGGACAGGCAGAGGCAGTTAGAGGTGATCAGGCTGGCAGAGGGGGCAGTTAGGGGTGACCAGGCAAGCAGGCAGGTGAGCAGTTAGAAGTCAGCTGTCCCAGATTGTGAGAGGGATGTCCAAGGGGTCCCAGATTGGAGAGGATGCAGGCTTTTTTATGCACTGGGTCTCTAGATACAGTATAAAACAGTTTAGTATAGGTTAGTATAGGCCCTAAAAATCCCTGTGCTTCACCAATTCATTGCTCCCCCATTTCCCTTGGGAATTCCTGGTATCCACTTGTCTTTTTACTCACTGCATTCTTTTTGTTTTTGTTTTTGTTTCCCCCCAAAAAAATGTCACATAGTTGTAATCATATAATATGCAGCCTTTTCAAATTGGCTTTTCATTTAGCAATAAGGATTTAAATTTCCTCCATGTCTTTTCATAGCTTGATAGCTCATTTCTTTCTAGCACTGAATAGTACTCCATTGTATGTTTACCCATTCACTATTGAAGGACATCTTGATTTCTTTCAATTTTGGCAATCTTATATAATAAAAGCCTAGGTGGTGTCATGCCCCCACATGACGTCATCACAAGATGGTTGCAAGAAGATGGCCACCAAAAGATGGCCACCCTCATGTTGTCACAAGATGCCTGGCAGAGAAGGGCAGTTATGGGCGATCAGGCCAGTCAGGGGAGGGCAGAGGAAGATGACCAGGCCAGCAGGGAAGGGCAGTTGGGGGGGACCAAGCCTGAAGGAGAGGGCAGTTGGGGGTACCAGGCTTACAGGAGAGGGCAATTAGGAGTGACCAGGCTGGCAGAGGAGGGCAGTTGGGGGGGACCCAGGCCTACAGGGGAGGGCAGTTGGAGGGACCAGATTGGCAGGGATTTACGAAAATCAGATGTTTTGTGGCAAGAGGGCTAGTAATTACTATACCGTACACTGAATATATACCATGAAAAGCTTGAATAAAGATTGCTCTAGCCCAAATAGTCAATGAACTAACAAATTCTTAAAACCAATTTCTAGAATATGGAAATATTTTAACACTGCAAATTATTCTGACCAGAATAACTCCCTGCTTTGGTTAAAAATAAAATTTATATTTCCTAATAGTGCTGTGATAAACAAGATTTTTATGTAAGATAGAAAACATACAATAAACACACAAAAAACTTCTTCTTAAATTTCAAAACCAATAAACCATCTTTAAGAAAATTTAAATAATTCTTTCTTAAATTCCTAATCCAGAAATTTTCTTTCCCAAATGATTGTGAATTCCCCAAGAGCCATAACATTATCTTTTATCTCTTAGGACTATAATACTATATGTGCTTAATAAATTATTGCTGCATGATTGGGGGATCATTAAATAGCACTGAATATTGCAAAGAACAACATACCAAAATTTCTGTCATATCATTCTTTTGTTGTTGGATTTTTTTTCTTCTTCAGATTTTACCATCTTCTCAGAAGATTATACAAATTTAAGATGCAGATTTTATTAAAATACAATAAGAAAGGTCCTTATTTAAAGTTAATTTAATGTAAAGCACATTCATGGGTCTGATATTTCAAAACTATTATTTTAATTTACTATATTCAAATTTATAACCATATTATCTATTTTTATATTGGGAAGTCAACAAAGTGACCTTAAATACAATTAAATATAGAATATACTCTAAGTTTCTCTCAACTGTTTTGATTTTCCTATGAGAAAATTGTTCTGTTCCACCCATGTTCATACTGATTTAGGAGTTTACAAAAAATGTGGTCCGAAAGTGAATAGCTTCATATTGCTTTGCAACGAGGAATAATTTAGTGCAAACAAAGTAGGGGGAGAAATAATTGCTTTGTAAGAAAATGTCAAGAACCCCTTACTAGAGCAATTGCTCTTCTGTAATTTCAGGGTATGAGCACCTTTGGAAGTGGAAGGCTAAGGTATACCCCAAGGCATTGTGTGGCAACAGTGGAGAGGGAGAAGCCAGCACTCCATGAGCATGAGCCTCAAATCCTCAGCGTCTACTCCTCAGTTTGAGAGCAAAAGCAGCCATAGTTTGACGAGAAATGGAAGTTATCTAGTCAGGCACACCCCTCATCCCAGAAGGGTCTGCCACATCAAAGGTAAGGTGACTCAGGACCTAGAATGTGTCTCTCTTCTCTACACAGCCTCCTTGGCGGTTCAGGTGGGTAAACCCAGAGATGCTGTTCAAAGTATCTAACCCCTGCTGAGGCACAGGCACTGACTATGGGACCAGATGCCAGGACTGGAGCTAAAGCAGAGGCTGGCGCACCTTCTGTGCCAGGCCTTCATGCTTGGATTACTCCATTGTTAGGAAAGGGGCCACTCAGGGAGTTTAAGGTAGCAATGGCCAATGATATAAGAGTATTTCAATATTTTAACAATTTACACAGCTGTGCTAGCATCTGCATGCTAAATACAATCCCTGAAGCAGCACATATTTTACCCACTCCCTTCTCTCTCTCTCCTTCCCTTCCTCCCTTCTTCCTTCCTTCTTTCCTTCCTTTCTTGCTCCCTCTTTCCATTCCTTCATCTCTTTCTCATCCCATCTTTCCCTCTCTTTATTTCACATTTTAAGATTTAGTTTCTGTAACACCATATATTATTTATTTATTTATTTATTTATTTATTTATTCTTTATTGATTAAAGTATTACATACATGACCTTTCTCCACCATTGACCTCTCCCCGGCCACTCCCATTCCCCAGCACATGCCCTCACACACACACCCTAGTGTCTGTGTCCATTGGTTATACTTATATGCATGAATAAAAGTCCTTTAGTTGATCTCCTACAACCCCTCCCCCCCTCCGCCCTCCCCTGCCCCTCTTGCCTTCCCCCTGAGGTTTGATGATCTGTTCAATGTATCTCTGTCTCTGGATCTGTTTTTGCTCATCAGTTCATGTTGTTCACTATATTCCACAAGTGAGATCATGTGGTGTTTATCTTTCTCTGATTGGCTTATTTCGCTTAGCATAATGCTCTCCAGGTCCATCCACGCTGTTGCAAATGGTGAGAATTCCTTGCATTTTGCCACAGCATAGTATTCCATTGTGTGGATGTACCACAGTTTTCTAATCCACTCATCTGCTGATGGGCACTTAGGCTGTTTCCAAATCTTAGCTATGGTAAATCGTGCTGCTATGAACATAGGGTTGCATATGTCCGTTCTGATTGTTGTTTCTGATTTCTTGGGACACCCTGTATTTTGTCACAAGCTTCAATAGTTACTGTAGTACATGCCATAGTGAACCAACCACCTACCTAGGTCATGGCTTCAGGACCAAGGCACCCAGCTACCCACCTGCCAGGTGTATCAACAACTGATGGCTTACACTGAGTTCCTCTCTGGGAATTGCTCACAGCTGAAGGGAGCTCTCATGCACAATGGGAGTTTGACCAATGAGAGGTCGATGGGGGTTAGAAAGGCCTAACACCCTTGCCTTGAGTTGAGGCATCTCCCTAGAGCCAGCCACTGCTCCTTGTAGAACTGACCGAGGCCTCTATGGTATCTATATTGCAGTTCAACTTTTGTCCAATCCTGCTTCCCTGGCCTCCCTATACATTGTTCCCAAGAATGCTCACCAATAAATTCATACAAATCTCCATCCAAGCTTCTATTTCCAGAGAGCATAATCCAAGGCAATGTCTCTAAAAAAAAAAAATAGGGTGGTACAGAAACTTGACTCCAATATCTAATTTTCCTGTATATTCAAGGAAGTGAGACTCCCACCAAAATTGTTGGAATAAAGGCAGACCTACCCAACTTGACTCTCAGACCAAGATCAAAGATGTGGACCTGGTTTTCAGGCTAACAAGATGGCAGACTATTTTAAGGAAGCATGTATTGCAAATATAATTTGCTACACTGACTTCCAAAGACTCACAGTGGTTCATACAACTTATGCACATTTAAGAACACCTAATTGGGTGGTATATTACTAATCACTCAAAGAAAACCTGCCCCAAACATAATCTGGTGGTTTGATCTTCTTGTCCTTACCACCTAGGCTTGAATAACATTCCTATATGTACTGTGAAGGATGATGATTATTCACTGAGATCTATGTGGAGTGTTGACCAGTTCAACCACTTAGAGACGACGGACAACATGCCATTTGCCAAATGCACTCACCCACCCAGCACTGCAGCCGAGGAGGGCCCAGTCAGAGGAGTCTCACCAGCCCCGAAAAGTGCCAACGTGCATCCCCCACGGCCTCATTCTGGTGAGTCCCACTCAACTGATGAAATCTTTCCTGAGGCCTCCTACAAACTATCAGGAATTGGTGGGAGTGAGTGTATGGAAATCTACATGATTGCTAATATAGCTGCAGTGATTTTTAAACAGCCATGAAATCTTCTCATCATGAAATACTTCATTATAAGAATGTTTCACCCCTCTAATTTCAATCCAGTAGTTAAAAAATGTTAATAAATATTATAATAATTATTCATTGTACCCAAGGCATATTTGTGTGATTCTAATCTCTAGTTCCTCGAAATTAGTTCAGAGATACAAAAAAAAAAAAAAAAAAAGAATCTTTAGCCAGCATAGATGGGGAAACTACTTCAGGCAAAAAGTGAGTTGGGGAAATGCAATAATCATGGAATTTCATGTTTACATCTTCCCCACTGAATGGCACAGTCTGTGTTCTTGCCATTGATATCTCCTAGCTTCCAGCACAGTGCCTCGTCTTTTTAAAACAATTCAACGAATTAATTAATGTTCATTGAATTGAAATGAAGCAAGATCAATCAAAAGTATACATAGCCAAAACTGGTTTGGCTCAGTGGATAGAGCATCGGCCTGCAGACTTAAAGTCTCAGGTTTGATTCTCGTCAAGGGTATGTACCTTCCAATGATAGAAACAACCAATTCCCTGTATTATTTTTGCTTAGAATAACTGGAGTGGTTTCTGTTTCTCACAAGAGCTCTCTTAATAGATTCATACCCATGACTTTGTTTTCCATACTCTTAAGTAATGAATTCAGTTACTATTGGGTATATACATAAAAAAATTTTTCACCTTTAAAAGAATTGCTATGTTTACTATGGTTTCAGTAAAAAAGATAACATTACATAAACAGGATATATCTTTAAACTAATGCATGGGAAAATTAATCAAATGTTTAAGTAGTTTTAGGGGTATTTAGCTAAATGACTGCATGAAATGGGTAGGGTTGAGAGAATGATGAAACAAGAAATCAAATAAAGAATCTAATTTTATCTCAGCATACATCTTCACTTTCTGTCTACAGAGCAAACAGCACACATACATTCTCTGTAATGAGAGAAAGTGTCAATTACATGAACAGGAACCAGAAAAAAAATTATTTTACACTGAAATATGTACTTTCAAAAGCAGTTTACCCAGATCAAGAAAGCTCTTGCAGTGTTTCTTTATATTATCTTCCTGGACATAGAATTCATTTTATAATATAGTAAGTTTTTATTATGTTATTGTAGTATAATTATAAATTTTTTAATATTTATAAACAGATCTAGGGGTTGATCTTAACTAAAATTCAGAGATACTTCCATCTGTTTCAGCAACTATCATATATGGCATGTGATAGGACAGTTTTTTCCAGTTTGATCTAAGTATATTTTTCCTCAATATCATTTCAGCACCATGTAGAAAAATCAAGGAGTGCTTCAAAACTTCCAATGAGAATCCCTTAGTAATTAAAAAGGTAAAGAAACAACTATTTTCAGTACCTATTTAGTTTTACTTTTATCATTCCCTCTCCTCTTTCTTCTTCATGTACTTTTCTGAAAAAATACTATGTTTCACAATATTTTACAGCTTTATTTAAGCACAATTAAGATGATATAAAATGCACATACAGGGTGAGGCAGTAGTAGGAAAATAATACAATAAAATATTATTCATAAATAATAATAAAAGAATAAACTGTACTCACAGTTGTGAACCTACTTTTGCCTCATCTTGTACTTAAAGTACACAATTTGATGAGCTTTGTTAAATATACATCGACACCATGGAAGCCACAATGGCAATCAAAGTTTTCTCATGACCCTGATCCTCCCATGGGCAAACACTAAAGCTTTAGCATGCAATTTTTAGGGTTTTATATAAATGAAATTATATAGTGAGGTTTCTTTTTTTAAATCTGGTTACTTAGATCCTTCAGTGAGAGCAAAAAATGGGGAGACAAAAAACCCCCAAAGGAAAGAAAAGGAGGAATAGCCAGAAAAGCAGCTAAGTGGAACAGAAGCACGCAATATGTCTGAAAAAGAACTCAGAACAAGGGTCATACGTTCATAAACCGGATAGATGAAAAATCAACAAATTATGTAACAATCAAGAAAAAATAAAGAGTAATATAGCTGCAATAAAAAAGAAAAAAAACACCATAGAAAGTTTCAACAATAGACCAGAAGCAGAGGACTAAATTAGCAAATTAGAAGACAGGGAAGCAAAACTGAACTGCAGTTGGAGAAAAAAATAAAAGACAGTAGGAGAGCCTAATGGGGGGATTTGGGACAACATTAAATAAAGCAACATATGAATAATAGTGGTGCCAGAAAAAAAGGGAGAAATATGACTTATGTTTGTTCTCTGGTGTTTTCTCCATATATATATATGGAGAAATAATATATATATATATATATATATATATATATATATATATATATATATATGGAGAAAACATCAGAGAACAAACATAAATCAAAACATACAAACACCAAATACCCAGTAAAGAAGGTGGGGGGAGAATCTTATAGACAAAAAGTAATGTTATAGAATTGGATGATTGGATGAATATGGGGAGAACCTCAGTTCAATATAGAGGAAGTAGAAAGAGGATGAGTGGATAAGAAGAAAATGAAAAAGAAGAAAATAATAAAAAGCTTAAAATTCTAATTTAAAAAAGTAGGACAAAAATAAAAAAATTAGAATGACAAAATATAATGCAAAAAGTAGAAAATAAAGAAACAAATGAAAAAAGGAAAATAAAGAAAAAAGATAAAATAATAATGAAATAAAATAAAAATAAAATGATGGCTGATTTAAGATCCCACTCTTCTGTACTGTCTGCGGCTTCTCAATTTCCTGTTGCTAGGACTGAAGGACCCTCGTTAGGCCAGTCCCTGTGGGGCTCTCAGGGATTATTCCAGGGTTTTTGTTTGTTTTGCTTTGTTTTTTATATCCTTTGTACCACTCCGGGTGTAGTCTGAGTGTGGCTGTATTGGTTGCCTGGAGACTGCGGGGTGGGGCTATCTCTTCAGGAGAAAATGGCTGCCTAAGTCCAGCACCTCAGGTGTGACTCAGCACCAGATTCTCCTCTTTCCAGCTCTTCAAATCCACACCTCCACCTGCACCTCAGCTGTGGATGAGTGTCTGTATTTGAAAGGTCCTATGAGCTAGGTTCAGCAAACAAAAGCAAAGAGCAAAAAGAGGGGAAAGAGCTGCACCACTGTGAGTCCTCTACCGCCCCCCCCTCCCCCCCGCACTAGTGGATGTTATTCAATTTAGTTGCCCATTCTATCTGCTCTGGGACAAGACTTGGGACACAACCACCTATTCCTCTTCCATCTTATTCATTCCTTTTTATTGCTGAGGAGTATTTCCACAATTGATCTACCATTCACCTGTTGGTAGATATTTAGCTTATTTCCAATTTTTGACAAAGATGCAATGAGCATTTGTGTATAAGTCTTTGTATGGAGATGCATTTTTCTTTTTTCTTGTGTAAATAGCTAGCAGTAGAATGATTGTGTCTTATGGTAGGTATATGTTAAATTTTAAGAAACTGCCAAACTGTTTTTCAAAGAGGTGGTACCATTTTATATTCCTGCCAGACTTTTCTCTCCTCTACATCCTTAGTATGGTCAGTATTTTTATTTTAGATATAAAACTTTTGTCACCTACATATTTTGAAAATATTTTCTTACAGTATGAGGTTTCCTTATTTTTGTAACTATCTTTGGAGGAAGCAAAATTTATAATTTTCATAAAGCCCAAATTTGAAATTCTTCTATTATAGCTTCAAATGCAGTTGGTGTTTCTTTCTCTATGCTGCAATGATTAAAACCTTTAGTAAAATGTTGAATGGATTTGATGAGAGCAGACATCCTTGACCTACTTAAATCACTGGGGGCAAACATTCAGACTTTCACCACTAAGTATGACGTTAGTTTACTTTATTCATAAATGTCCTTTCCATTCTCACTGTTCTGAGGATGTTCCTTTCCATTCTCACTGTTCTGAGAGTTTCTCTTTTAAATAAGAAATAGGGGTTGGATTTTTTTCCCAAATGCTTTTTCTACATCTATTTGAGATGATCCTGTGATTTTTCTTTTTTAGTCTAGTCATAGAGTGAGTTACATTGGTCAACTTCAAAGGTTAAACTACATAATATCCAAGGTACAACTAACCTTGCATTCCTGGGGGAAAACCCAAATTAGTCATGATGTGTTATCCTTTTTATATAATTTTATAATATATTGTTTAGAATTCTTATGTCCATGTTTATAAGGAATATTTGTTTGCAGTTTACTTGTAATGTCTTCTCTGCTTTTGGTATCAGCATGATACTGCCTTCATAGAATAAGTTGGGAACTCTTTAATATTCTGAGAGATTTGATGTAAAATTGGTATTATTTTTTTCTTAAAAGTTTATAAGAATTCTTCAGTAATGCCATCATGGCTGGAGTTTTATTTGAGTAAATATTTTTTAACTACAAATTTAATTTATTTTCATAGATATAGGCTATCAGGTCATCTATTTTTTCTTTAGTGAGTTTTGATAGATTATATTTTTAAATAATTTTTGAATATTTTCATCGAAGTTGTTGTATTTATTGATATAAAGTCATTCATATAATATCCTTTTAATGATTATGAATTTTTTCTTCTTGATGTATGTAGCCAGAGGTTTATGAGTTTTATTGATCTTCTTAAAGACTCATCTTTTCATTTCATTGATTATCTCTAATGCTATTATTTTTCTGTTTCCATTTAATTGATTTTGGCTTGTATCCATATAAGATGAAAGTTTAGGTCAGTGATTTGAGACTTTTTTCTTTCTAATATTATCATGTATTATTACAGTTTTTCTATAAATACTGCCTTGGCGGTATTCCCCAAAACTTTATTACTTTGAAATTTCCTTTTCATTCTATTCAAGATACTTCCTTGAAAATGTTCCTTTTCATTTCTTCTTTTACCCATGAGTTATTTAAAATTGTTATTTGATTTCCAAGTATTAGGAAATTTTTAAAGATATCTTTATGTCCTTGATTCCAGTTTAATTCCTTTGTGGCCAGAGAATATACTTTTTTTGAAACCTTAAATTCCACAACCATTTCTTATTATAAATATGATGAAGCCAGATCCCCATGATGGGCTTATCAGAAAGATTTCTGGCAGTGAGCACCAGGGCTCCCGAGCTTTTCAAATTCACAGTGATGGGGATCAGCTCACAGCAGGTCTAGTCATATTGTGTTGGGATGTCTTTCATCTCCTACTTCTTTAAAAAAAAAAAAAAAAAATATATATATATATATATATATATATATATATATTATTGATTTTTTTTTTTTACAGAGAGGAAGAGGAAGGGAGAGGGATAGAGTTAGAAATATCAATGAGAGAGAATCATTGAAGAGCTTCCTCTTGCATACCTACTCCCTACTGGGGATATGCCCGCAACCAAGGTAATGCTCTTGACTGGATTCGTACCTGGGACCTTTCAGTCCCCAGGCCGACGCTCTATCCACTGAGCCAAACCAGTTTTGGCTTTGATCTCCTTCTTGTAAGCCTCATTCACATATATCTGGTAACAGGCCACTGGACTTTAGAGAAGAACTGGCAGATTGCATAATTATAGGCAATGTGACCAACACCCTTTACAGGGACATGAATCTTTATACCAGATAATTACTCTTTGTCCAGAATACTTTGAAAGTTTTAAAATTAATTGAGATTTGTTATATGGCCCAGAATATGGTTGACCTTGATAAATGTTCCAGGTGTCAATGAAAAGGAATGTTCACTCTTCTGCTGTTGTTGGGTAGAATGTAACATAAATTCCATTAGGTCAAATTGGTTGATATTCTCATTCAAGTCTTTTATGGCCTTATTCATTTGATGCCTACTTTTTCTATTAATTATTGAAAGAGATGTTGAAATATCTGACTATCATTGTGGATTTCCTTTTTTTCACTTCTATCATTTTTTAAACATGTCATATGTACCTTTTTTTTGTTAGGAATATTACTATTTAGATTTTTATGTCCTCTTGATGAAACAAACCTTTAATCATTACAAAATTACTGTCTTCAACCCTGATAACACTATTTTATTTGAAACTTATTTTGTTATAGAATTGCTCAGATTTACTGTTTCTTCTTGAATTGATTTTGGTAACATTCTTTTTCTAAAAATTATTAATTTCATATAAATGTTCAAATTTATCAGCAATGTTATACATAATATCCTCATATTCTTTTAAAAATATTTGCAGGATCTGTTATATGTACTCTTTTATATATCAGTTTTATTAATTTGTGCCTTTTTCTTGATAAGTTTCAATAGTTTATCAATTTTATTACTATGTCATAGAATAAACGTTTTTATCCTCTATATTATACATTTCTTTTCTATTTTTTAAAAATAATTATTTAATCATATATACATAAGGGTAGTAAAGGGTAGCACTAGGCTTGCAGGGGAAGAGAGCAATGTATTTTCCCTCTGTCCCAATGTTGGCTTGGCACAGTTCTGAGATCACACACACAAGTGGGTTGGGTTGGGAAGAATAAGGGAGAGGACTGGATAGGTAAGAGGGTGGAGGCAAGGGCTTGCAGTAGCCTCAGTCAGTAGACTCCAACACAGATTCACTTAGCGCAAGTCCAGTAATATTCCACCCCATGCTTTGTTAAATGCTCTCTATAGGGCACTGTTTGAGCTTCATATTCCCAAAGCTCCAGTCTTTGGTTGTACCCTCCCAGACTAGTACACATTTGTTGGTTTTCTTCACAGCTTCCTCACTGGATTTCTCATCATCTCCCTTTGTGTTAGATGTCTGTTTATCCCATTTTATCCAATGCAGCATATGACGTTTAAATTTATTCTGGGACTTGGGGCCCCCTTCCACTACTACCATGTCAACATCCTTGTGCAGAACCACCACCCCTGTCAGGGACAGTTGCTCAGCATTGGCCTCAATCTTGAACTTCTTGGCTAGGTTGCTCAAATTTCTAACTATGTGTACCCCCCTGTGAAATATCTTCTTTAAGCTTCTTAATTTTCTTAACTTTTCTCTATTCTGCTGTAAGTTTCCAGGCAGTGTTGGCTTCTTCATGCACTTTCTGTCTTTTTCCATCTGAGCTCTGACATGGGCTTTTACCTTCGTGGGGGTCTTAACAGCTTCTGTTCCTAATACTCGCATCAAACTAGAAATTCTCACTTTGGGATCTGGAGGAGGCATCTGGAGGAGTAACTGGTGTGTCATTGTCATTGTCAACTGGGGGGTTGAGCTGGGCTGGATGTTCAACAAGATTTGAGATTCCAAAATAATTTTCTCTCTTGGGATTTTGCTCTGTAAGATCAAAGCCATTGGGGATTATGTAAAAATCCTACCACTCAATTTCAGGAATATCTCCTTCCTTTAACTCCTTCTTAGGAACAATGAGAGCCAGCCTCGTTGAAGTATGGATGCCTGTTTTTCCAGCTGTTTGTGAGGTCATCTCTGTTGGCAGCTTTTCCAGTTGAGCCTTTGTCCATAATCACTGGGCAATCTTCTCAAATTTGCCCTTGTCATGGAATTTAAAAGTGTATCTTTGCCGCTGGGAAGGGGCAAATGAAACACGGAGGTCAAAAAGAGTATTGTATTCCATATCTTCTGATGGCTTTTCTTTAAGCTGTTTCTTGAATTGTTCCCTCTTCACCACACAAATACTGGCTTTCAGAGTAGGCATTCGGTGTGTCAGCTCAATCTCCTTGCCTGTTGCATCTACAGTGCAACCTTGCTCATCGAGAATCAGTGGTTTAGTTTGATCTTCTAATTCAACCTTTGGGGGAGCAATGCCCGTGGCATGAAGATTGGCCAGGCCCACCATATTGGCATTGCCAGCTGGGTTTGGATGCGGGCTTGTAGTTCAGCTGCTTTCCTTGCCTTCTCAGTGGCATCATTCATGAAAGTGGCGGCCTGGGAGGGCTGAATAGTTACCAATTGGAAGCCGCACTGGTTGGGAGGAAGAAGGAGTTTTTGGCTAAGGTGTAGGGAGGCTGATGAAACACAGTTGTTTTTTCCTCTGCTCGATTTGTCATGTTGCTCTGGAGTTGTTTGATCGGTAGCTCAGTCAGCATGCCAGGGCTCTCTGAAGGAGGCCCAGGGATCACTTCTGGCTCCTCTTTACCTCCTCAAAACGGGGTATTCCTCACTTCTTTACGTCTGATGATTCCTTGGAGATCTCAGAGTCATCAATCACCAAACACTTCCTTTAGCTCTCATTTTCTGCTGCTGTCAATACTAGACCTGGAATGTCTAGAGCCTCAGTTTATCCACAAATCGGAGAGTAGAATCATAAAAAAAAGGTTTCACATAGTCAGCTGCCTTCTTCTTGTCCATGTCTTTCCCCACACAGTTCAGTGCTGCTGTGACCACTGTGGGCTCAGAAACCCAGTACCCTCTTCACTGTCTTCTCTATCCATGGTTTTAGCTCATCCAGCTCCCTCTTAGTGCCATTCTTCAGGAAAAGCAGGATAACTCAAATGGACTTCTATACTGCACTTCACAAACTTCAGCTCCTGAGACAGAGCCCAAACGTTATATAGGAACCTGAAACCCTCCAACTGCCCGACATTCTGCCATCGCTACCTCCACCCAGGCCTCCCCTCCTTGACATTGTTTTTTGTTGTTGTTGTTGTTTTATATTAGTCTTCCTTATAGTTATGTTTAGTGGGAGGGTTACTATTCCCCAAAACTAGAAGTCTACATAATAAACTGAAACAAAAGGAATGCATCTAAAAACAATACAGCTTTATTTTCGGTAAATATCAACAATGTTCAATCAAGCCCAGTCATCATAGTCCCCAGTTGTTGATACATTCAGCCACTAGTTTCGGTGTCTTTGTATATCACTTGCTTCTGAAGGTTAAAAAGCCATATCTATACCTGGTTGGTCTTGATGCTCTTATAACCTTTTTTTTTTTTTATGGCAAACAGAATATTTTACCTCCCAAGTCAAGAAAATAGACTTTCTATTTCCTTTTCCAACTAATCAAGGAAAATAAGTTTTCTTCTCTAATTCTCCAGCTTTCAGCTGACATTTAGCAGAGTAAGGAGGCAGCAGTTCATGCTGTCTAGTCCCTTCACAGACACACCACAAAGCCTATCTTTTCCAACCATAAAAGAGAAATATTCCCAACTCAATAGAAAATCTTACTATGTGTCATGAGTTTGTTCTTATCTGAAACAGCAAAATAAAAATTTACACATTAAACATTTAAAAATTACTATGTTGATGTATAATCAAGTGTTTTAAATGGTTCCACAAAAAGTAAATACTGTATTACTATTTGTTCTGTCTCCAAATGCAAATAATTGAAAATTAGATATTTAAGGAAAGGTTGAAACTACCCCCTTTTTGCTTTTATGTATGTTTCTCATTTAGCTACAATATTTCTTTTTTGTAAAAAATATATTTTATTGATTTTTTACAGAGAGGAAGGGAGAAGGACAGAGAGTTAGAAACATCGATGGGAGAGAAATTTCGATCAGCTGCCTCTTGCACACCCCCCACTGGGGATGTGCCCGCAATCAAGGTACATGCCCTTGACCGGAATCGAACCTGGGACCCTTGACTCTGCAGGCTGACGCTCTATCCACTGAGCCAAACTGGTCAGGGCAGCTAGCTACAATATTTCTGACTCATTTTACATTTAACTTTTAAACAAAATGTAAGTGGATAAAATGTATATTTATTATATTATATCTTTGATTTAGGAAAGTAAGGTAAAAGATCCACCCTTACCTCCAAAGGCATGCCTTACTATGGACTCTTGTTCTCCAGAGGTGATGAATACCAAGACTAAAGCCAAGGAGAATACCATACGCATACCAAACTATCTGGACCAGGAAATCAAAGTAAGGGGCACATTTATTTAATCTTTTACTTAGGTACAGCATGAGCAAACAAAAATAATTTACATCACTTAGCATCTTTAAAACTCTTGGGTGTCCCTTTGACAACTGAATTGATTTAAAACATCTAAGCCTGAAATCCAAGACCTAATGCTATCTTGTAATCTTCTCCTTGGAATCCTATCACCCTTAAAAAAACAGTGTTTGACAGCTGTCAGTTTGTTTTCTGTATCTATGAGTTTGTTCCTATTTTGTTTGTTTAAGGTGAAGGGATTTTAAAAATCTCATAGACACGGACAACAGTATGGATATTATCAGAGGAAAAGGGTTAGAAGAGGGTAAAGGGGCAATAATTGGTGATGAGAGGAGACTTGACTTTGGGGGGTGAACACACAATACAATATACGATGAAGTATTATAGAATTTTACACCTGAAACCTATGTAGTTTTATTAACGAATGGCACTCCAATAAATTCAATAAAAATTAAAAACAAAACAAACAAACAAAAAAACTCCACAGCATTTGGTTTAGACATAATGAAAAGCTTGGCATTTGCCAAACATTATTGGTCCTACATTTCCCATGTTTGCCTTCTTTAGATCCTTTTGGTAACTTCCACCTTACCTCACTGTAAGACTCACTATAATAAATTAAGGGTCACAAAATATTGTAATGATAACTCTGACAGAATTTTAAAATAGTATCAGTAGTAGCAATTGCAAATTAACAGGGCATGTTGTAAGGCAAGTATGTCAAACTCAAAGGATAACTTGGGCTAAATAAACAAGGTTTAAGTTTATGTGGGCTGCAAAAATAAAAAACAAAGCAAAAGCTTCAATTTTCAGAGAAACATGGGTTTATTTCTAAAAGTATAGTATAGAAAAAAGAACAAGAGCCATGATAAAATTAGTGTTTCCTGATACTTGGCATTTCTTCTCTGTTACAATCTCTCCTACTTTGGGCGAAATCTTATTCGCAGTGATAACTTTCAAAACTGACCCAAGGTAAGTGTTAGAAATTCTGGATCTGACAGGAGACTTACTTCCTTTCATAATTGTAAATAACTCCTCACAACATTATATTGGTTGTGCTGCAAAAATATTAATTGTGGGTCGCATGCACTGGGCTGTGAGTTTGACATGCTTGTAAGGGTTGTTATTGAATAACCCTGATAAGGACCTATGTTAACAGTAAAGGATAATAATATCAGTTTTGGGGGATGCTAGAAATTAAGATTCTGAAGAAAAGGGGTCTGTGGAGAGAATCTTTAGTCTAGTATAAGCTGCACATGCAGAGGAGATTCTGAGACCTGATGGAAGGAGGCTAATGGGAGGCAGCACGTTGCTTAGAGAAACTGGACTTCTGACCTTCCAGATTGAAGAGACCTTATTGAACACACCAGGAATTCAGTTGAGACCCCAGAAAGATCAAACCTCATAAAAACCAATAGGGCATTCTAGCACCACAGTAGGGGCTACTATGGACCTACACTCCAAATCCTAAAATCAAATTTCAACAGATGAAACTCACCTGCCAATATATTTACTATATGTCAAAATTCTAACAGCAGATGGGAGTTTAGGGTCAAACTGGAAATATCATGAGCTTAATACTTTGAATTTTAATACTTATTATAGTCCATTTTATTGGAATTCATTATTTCACATACTAATCTCCTCTATCCTACACACTTCAGCCCTTAGCTCCTGATAAAAAGTGTCAAAGAAGGATTCTGATTTGCAAACGGGAATTAGATTCCTAAACCATTGGGCCAATCACTATGTTCAGGGGATTGAAGAACAATGATGAATCCAGCTAGCTTCACCCCTGTAGAAAGGAGCAAGCAGTACAGAGGAGACAGGGCCATGACTGGAAGGTCCCCATTAGAATCCCATGGTGCAAAGAGAAAGAATCAATTCCCCAGAAGAAGGAAAATAAGTGTCTCCTCCAGATAATGGTTGTAATGAACAGACAAAACAAGGAAAACCACATCTAAACTATTATTACTGGTTTTGGAGGCGTTTCTTTAAAGGTTCTGCTGGCTCCCAAGCTAACATCCCAATCGATTTAACTGAACACTGTGTACATAGTGACATCTGGGAAGATGAGACTGTGGAGAATGTAAAGGGAACTTTATAAGCCTTGTACCATTTATTTGCTCACGATACAATGCTAATATTCTGTATCAGATTCTGGCAAAGCTCTGCAACATTTTACATACTGATTCTCTGGCCGAAGTTCTACAATGGCTGCTTCACGCAAGTTCAAAAGGTGAGATTAACACAGAAGGTTTTTCTTCCTTTGGTATGGGTGGCAGTGGCATAGCCTTCCAAGTTCCAGATTCTAGCCGCTCTGCAAATTCCCACCCAAACCATCAATTCAGTCATCTCCTAGCCTCCTTTGGGACCTTCTTGGCCTAATCCATGAAAACACAGGCCAGTCTTAATGGGATAACCATAAATAGCATAGAGCAGCTATCCTCACACTTAACTGGTCATCAAATGGATGGAGGCTAAACATCTGAGGTCAGTGAACCCTGAGAATTTGCATTTCTAACAAGTACCCCCAGATGATGTCAATAATGCTGGTTTGGGGACAACTATTTGAGAACCATTGCACTAATCAAAGTTCGGAAATATCAATGTGCCAAGAACAGAATCATATTTTGAGTGGAAGCATTTTGGAAATAGTTCCTTACCTCAGGAATTCAAGACTACTCAGCAGGCAATTGAGAAGTATTTTGGGATAATAAGTCTTTAGTTATTCTCTATTATATTTTCTTTTTAATAATGTAACAAAAAATTACACAAGAAATAAGTGTTTATTGTTAAGGATCAGGGAGGAACCTGAAAAAATAAAAGAAAACCAATAATAATAAATAAAACTATCACAGACATCATTTCAGTGAATAGTGTTTTGCTTTCTAGATATGCATGTAACTATGATTTAACTATCCATCTGTAAGATCATAGTAGTTATTATTTTTAGAGGTTTACTTTTTTTAAATTTATTTTATTGGTTTTGTACAGAGGGGAAGGGAGAGATAGTTAGAAACATCGATGAGAGAGAGTCATCGATCAGCTGCCTCTTGCACACCCCCTACTGGGGATATGCCCACAACCAAGGTACATGCCCTTGACCGGAATCGAACCTGGGACCCTTCAGTCTCCAAGCCGACGCTCTATCCATTGAGCCAAACCGGTCCCGGCTAGAGGTTACTTTTTTTTCTTTTCTTTTTTCATGTGGCAGTGGTCTGTAAGGCTGAGTTTTGTACTCAATATTTGAAAACCACCCCACTGTCATTCATGGACAATCCCTTAGTGAGTTAACCACTCTGGGCACTATAGTACTGCAGGTCATCAAAAACTAGGTTGTTGTAAACCAACTTTTCTGCAAAAACGTTGATTCACACATATTAGTCGGTGCCTACTCAGAAAACAGATTAGCAGCTTTAACACTGGCGTGCTGGATAAGAAAAGTAGTTCAGTGTTTCCAGACAGTGATCATTCCAACTTCATGCCCCTCTCACCCCTCTTGTTAAATCAGAGAAAGAGTGGGTCTCAGCTTTGATACATGCTGAGCTGTTTGAGATAAACTTGTTGGCTCGCCCTCTGAGAAGAAGCGTCTCCGCAGAACCAGCAGTAGTGACTGGAAAGCTAACCAAAGTTAAACCTTCAAGTTTACCTATGAAATCAAAAGTGCTGACCAGACCTAGAGAAGAACATCAACTGACCAGGTAAGTAGATATTCTGGCCACGTAAAGGGCATATGTACATAAAGACTTTGAATTCTCTTTTCATTATATTTAGAAATATGCTGAGTTTTTAAGACTCCTCTTTATTCAGTAAATGACAATAATGCGTGTTTAGTTTTGTAGGGTATTTTCATTTTTATAAATGCAATGAAAAGCACTCTAAATACTATATATATATTAGAGAGGAAGGGAGAGGGAGAGAGATAGAAACATCAATGATGAGAAAGAATCATTGATCGGCTGCCTCCTGCACATCCCCTACTGGGGATTGAGCCTGCAACCCAGGCATGTGCCCTGATCAAACCTGGGATGCTTCAGTCTGTAGGCTGACACTCTAGCCATTTAGCCAAACCAGCTGTAGCTAATTGCTATTTTTTCAGAGTATTTTTTCAAAGGCTAGGTCTTCCTTATCCAATAATCTTTCTTTTTGAGCAAACTTTTCTTTCCTCTAAGGCAAGCATGTCAAACTCAGAGGCTAACACGGTCCAAATAAAAGAGACATGCAGCCCACAGGCTGAGAGATTAACATACTTGTTCTAAGGGTAAGAGTAGCCACCCAGAAACCTAAGAAAATATAGTTTGTTTTTTAGTTTACTTAAAAATAAAAGTTATAAAGAAAATCTAAATTGTATTGTTATTGTATATCTTGTTGAACATGTATCATAGAGGCAACACTTTTTGTATAAACAATGCAAGGTTAAAGTACATTGTTTCACTTGATTATCTTGGACATACTCCTGGGGATTGTCAAAGGGGGAAAAAATAACTATTAAGGGGATTGGGAAATATTTTAATTGAAATTCTTCCTAAATATTATAATTTCAATGACAAAAGAAAATGCCTATTTGTGTATAACATCATGATGAAAGAATGTGGTAAGATGTTACTTAGCTGGGAGAGAAAATCTTATTGCTTTAAAATTAAAAGTTGAGTAAAACTTAAATTCAAAAACAGTAAATATTCAAAACACATAATAGATCATTTTAAAAAACATTAAGACAGAGAATTTTGTAGCATTGAAATTTGTCTCCACCTTAAAGTTTCCATAAAATTAAAAATTGGCATGCTTTGACCAATTTTTGCTAAATAGTTAAGAGCATTGTTTCAGACACTGAACACTGAAGGCTGGTGGGTTCAACTCCCAGTCAGGGTGTATACCAGGTTGTGTGTTCAATCATATATGGGAGGTAACTGATGTTTCTCTCTCTCTCTCTCTCTCTCTCTCTCTCTCTCTCTCTCTCTCTCTCTCTCTCTCTCTTTCTCTCTCTCTCTCTCTCTCATCAATGAAAAAAAAATATCCTCAGGTGAGGACTAAAATAAAATAATTAGAAACTTGGGGGTTGTCAGGATCACTTTCTCTACCTTAATATGATGTACTAGTTTAGATATTTACTTCAAGTCAGAAAAATTTTTCATTGGAAAATACATTTACTACTATCTACTTTAAAACAAAGAATTGGAATAGGCTATTTAAGACAAATTACTTAGCTCATATGATGATAATGCAGCCTATAGAAAATATCTACTTGTATCTGTGAATTTCATTTTCTTTTTCTCCAATTGATTTAGAGTGTCAAGTCAAGGATTTGAAGAAAATAAGGTGGTGCCAAAAGGTTAAGTACTATAGTTTGTGATAATTACTGAATTTTTATAAGGAGACCAGTAAGTAGCTAGTTAGGGAAACAGATATTAAGATCTATGGTTTTAAATGCAGTAAACTACAATAGTGACTTCCAGCCACTCTGAGGGGCAGCATCTACTGAATTTCTCATAGAGATAATATTTGATAAATTTGTATTGAAAGGTTAAGTGCCTCAGGGATAGACACTCTTTGAGGAGCAAGACAGAAGGACACAGGGAATTCAGGGTGACAGGAGGAGCCCTGGATTGACTTAACAAAAAGACAATGATCTCAGAGTTTTGGTTCTTTGCAGCTTAACTGTCATTGAGCCAAATGATTTTCACTAGACACAAAGTCAACCAGAGAAAACAGTAAAATGGCAATCAGCCAGCAGATGCCCCAGGAGATAGCTGATATATGAAAGAGAGGAGCAATTTTGTGTCCTTACTAGAAGCTCAGCCCCAGCCTATGATTTGTGGAAAGACCTACATTGATCCAGAATAGTCCAACTGAAATATCCCTGTAAGACTGGTAGCTCCCAGCCTTAAAACCAGCACAGTAACAATGACTATAGAGCAATGGCTATAAACTGTGTCTACTAGCCTCAAACAAAAGTCTGCCTTATTATTTCTACAAGTTCCCTTTATACCAGGAATGACATGGTAATTAGAATTCCTGGAGGTCACTCTTAATGCTAGAAGTTCTGTTGGAGTTATCCAACACAAAATGGGCTCTATCTGCTAATAGGCAATAATAAGTCTAATTTAGAAATTAGAAAATATCCCCTTATTCTGATACTCCAAGGACTGTCTCTGATATCTTTCTTCTTTTATTAAAATTTTCACTGCAGGACTACAAAAACCTGATAGTGATTTTTCTATTATTCAATGTTATTTTTTGCCTGTTGGTCCCAAATTTTTTTTACCCTATCTATAGATATTTGGAAAACTTTTGTATAAGAATCCCTGAAACCATACACCTTTGTTCCAGTATTGATATTTAGCATCTCCCCAAATCCTTATTCTTCCTCGGATGTGACCATGTAGGCCTTGTGAAGGTCTAATGAGTGCAAATAATTTGTTTTAACAAACTTGTCTATTTTTTGTCTGTCAGGACAATAGATCCTTCTCCTTTTTCTCATTAGCCCCATGATGCCCATCAAAAGCCCTAGTTTATTCTTACCAAAATAATGTTTAAGAGCAGAGAACATAACTATATGCAAAAGAACAAATAATTCATTCAAGATGAGCAGATGATATGAAAGATGAGAATAGATTATTTTAAGAATTTGAGGTGTATTTGATTCACTCAAACTTCATATAGATTTTTTTGTATGCTATTTGCTATTAAAACATGGCAGAAGCTGTGTTCCATGTCTCAATTATGATCTTATTTTGATTTTTTCTATTTCAGAGGCTGAGCACAAACCTGCAATGTTTATAAGAAGAAATAAGATGACAATACCAGTTACAGAATACTTCAGCAAATCAAACTCTCCTCCCAGGCCTAAAACTCAGGAGAACGTATCAACAAAACCAATGTCAGCAAGGAGTATACACCAAGAATACAATCCCTCTCCCCAGAGAACATTTTCTCCTTTAACATACCAAAGGTAGAAAATCTAGACTGGGCTAGTTCTCATTCACATGAGCTTCATTTTGTTGCAACACAAAATTATTATTTTTTAAATATTTTGGTCTCAAGGAATCAATAGCTCCTCTAAACTGGTGGCACATGTAAATCTCAAAGCACCAGCAGATAATGCTACTAAACAAATATTACTGGAGACAATATTTCTATTTGTAGTTAATTTTAACACCATATGTAAAAAAATGTTTATTTACATACTATATTTCTAATCTGGCCCTGATATCAGAAAAATTACTCACAATCAAATTTAAGTAGTTATGATTCCACACCTGCTGAAAACTCTGTCAGAGAGACAAACAGAATTTTAACATCTGAGCTTATTTCCACAACCCACAGGGTTAAAATGTTGTTGGGCTATTATGAAAAAAAATGCTTACCGCCTTCCATAAAGGTAAAGCCATAAAAATTATCCCAAATTTATGAGCCAGAAACTAGTTCCCATTCATTTCTAGTTGTGAATATTAACAAATTTCTTAATATTGAGCATTTGTATTTTTCCTTAAAATAAAACCACTCTTGGGCCATGATTATTATTCTGTCAGTATACTGCTGGATTATATCTACAATTAGTCACTTTATTATTTAGAATGTTTGCTTGATATTTAAAAGAGATACTATAAATTGTGTGTATTTGTAATATGTTCATTTGTGCTTGTAATCTTAGTATCGATATTTATATTGCACTTACCATATGTCAGGAATCATCCTAAATATTTTAAATAGAGTAACTTTTAAAATATATACTTTTATTAATTTCAGAGAGGAATGGAGAGGGAGAGATAGAAATATCAATGATGAGAGAGAATCACTGATCGGCTGCCTCCTGCACACCCCACACTGGAAATCAAGCCTACAACCCGGGCATGTGCCCTCACCGGGAATCGAACCAAAACCTCATGTTCAACCACTGAGCCATGCCAGCTGGGCTAAATATATTAACTTTTAATTGTCATAATACTATTTGAGGTAGCTACTATTGTTATTCTATCTTAAAAAGAAAATTGAGGAAGAGAGGTCTGCTCGTTGGGATGGGATATACATTGGCACAACTGTCATCTTTCAAATACAATAGAAGTTTATACCTCACCTACGAGTTCAAAGTGTGTGTTTCAAGTCAACAGATGACTTTCCTTTACTGGTGATCCAGAGGTCTGGGATCATTCCATCTTGTGGTTCAACCATCACCTAGTTTCAACAACTGCATCCTGCTGGGCAAAAGAAGAGAAGAGTAGAAGGAAGTACTAATTTCCTATAGCTGCTGTAATACATTATCACGAACTCAGTGGCTTAAACAAACACAAATGTAGTTTACAATTCTGGGGACAGAGGTCTGCAATGGGTATCAATGGGCTAAAGCCAACGGATGGGCAGGGCTACATTCCTTCCGGGGGCCACGGGGGAAAGTAAGTTTTCTTTGCTTTTTCCAATTTCTAGAGATTACCCACACTCCTTGGTTCATGGGTCCTTCTATCTTTAATGCCAACAATGGCCAGTGGATTCTTTCTCAGACAACATTACTCTGACACTGACTCTTCTGACCCCCTCTTCCTGTGATTGCATTGGGCCTGCATGTTTTATAGGTTATCCAAGATAGTCTTATCTTAAGGCCAGATAATTAGCTATTTAATGCTCCCTTATTTTATAACATCACAGGGATTAGAATCTTTGGGGGCACTTTCTGCATTCCACAACGAGAGTACATCTGCTGAAAGTCTTGGCTTTCAAACGGCAAGCATCAATTCCAATCATATTCCATGATTAAGAAATAGTCTAACTGAAAGGGGCTGATAAAATTCTTAAATAGAAATCATATTTTAGTACTACACTGTAGACTATGGAAAGGAAAACTTAATTTTGGTGGAGAGTTAACTTTCTCTAACACAGAGGTTTAGTGAATGATTCAAAATGTGGCTAGGATCTATGTGCTTAATTACCAGGCACTACTGATATGTATCAAGACCATATCCCATAAAAGTTATTAGCATAACTTCTTAAGGTAGGATTAATACCCGGATACAATGATGGGTCAATACATGAAAATCAATCAATTTAATACCACATTAACAAAATAAATAACAAAAATCTCACCATCATCTCAATCAATGCAGAAAAATAATTTGACAAAATTTAACACCTTTTCATGATAAAAAATAATAAACCAGGAATAGAAGGAAATGATCCTAACTGAAAAGCCATCCATGAAAAATCACAGCTAATATTGTATTCAGTGAGGGAAAGACTGAAGGCTTGTCTTCTAAGTTCAGGAACAAGGCAAAGATGCCCACCCTCACCATTTCTATTCAACAAAATACTAAAAGGTTTATCCAGAACAATCAGCCAAGGAAAAAAAAAGACATACAAATTGGAGAAGAGGAGGAAGAAAATAATTAGTGTCCATATTACCCAAAGAGATCTATAAAATAAATGCAATCCCTATCAAAATCCCAATGACATTTCCTACAGAAATAGAAACACCACCCTAAAATTTGTATGGAATCTCAAGTGATAATGAATTTAAAAAATAGTTGGAAGCTTTATACTCCCCGATTTCAAAACTTACTACAAAGCAAAAGTGGTTAACATAGTGTAATACTGGCATATAAGCCTATAAATCAATGGAAAAGAACAGAGAGCCCAGAAATAAACTGTTGTGTAGATGGCCAAATGACTTTCAACATGGATGAAAGACTACACAATGGAGAAAGACCATTCTTTTTCAACAAATAGTGCTAGGAAAACTGGATTCCATATGCAAAAGAATAAAATTAACTTACACTATATACAAATTTAGCTCAAACTTGGTTGAAAACTACTAAATTCCTAGAAGAAAACATAGTGGGAAAACTTCAGAACATTGGCTAGGGCAATGATTTCTTAGCTGTAACACCAAAACACAAGCAACAACAACAATAAAAGATAAGTCAGACTCCATGAAAATTTTAAAGATATTTTTATTGATTTCAGAGAGGAAGGAAGAGGGAGAGCTAGAAATATCATGAGAAAGAATCATCAATTGGCTGCTTCCTGCACCATCTCTACTTGGGATTAAGCATGCAACCCAGGCATGTGCCCTGACAGGGAATCAAACCTGTAACTTCTTGGTTCCTCAGTCAATGCTCAAATGCTGAACCATACCCAGCTGGGCAAAACTTTAAAACTTCTTACACACACACACCATAGTAAAAAGGCAACCTGTAGAATGAAAATAAAATTTCCATCTTATATATAAGATATGTAGGATATATAAGGAATTTCCATAACTCAATGACAGAAAAACCCAATTTAAAAATAATTTGAAACCAGAAAAAAATAATAAAAAATAAAAGAGGCAAACAAAAATAATAAACTTTTTAAATTAAATTACTTTAAAACAATTTGAATAGACATTTCTCCAAATGAGACATACAAATAAATAGCCAAGCAGCACATGAAAAGATGCTCAGCATCACTGGTCATTAGGGAAGTGCACAATGATATATCATTTCACACCTATTAGGATGGCCACTATCAAAAGAACAAAAAATAATTGTTGGCAAGGATGTAAAGTTGGAATCCCATGCACTGTTTGTAGGCATGTAAAATGGCACAGCCATTATGAAAAACAGTATAGAGGTTCTACAAAGAATTAAAAATAGAATTACTTTATGATCCAGCAGTCCCACTTCTGCATATATTATACTAGTATATCCAAAGGAGTTGTAAGAGGATCTCAGAGATATTCGCACATGTCTGTACAATGAAGCATTGTTCAAAATACCAAGAAGTTGAAGCATTCCAAATGTCCATGGACAGATGACTGAAAAAATAAAATGTGGTTTACCTGCTATGCAGACACTGGAATAGTATTCAGCCTGAAAATATAGAAGAAAAATCCCATAATATACTATCATATGGATGTGAGGACAATATGCTAAGAAGTAAACTAGTCAGGAAAGAACAACTATTTCATGATTTCCTATGAAATCTTAAAGTAGTCAAAATCACAGAAACAGAAATTAGAATAGTGGTTACCAAGGGCTGGTGAAAGCCGAGAGAGGCAATTAGCATTCAATGGACATAGAGTTTCAGTGCTGCATGATGAAGAAGTTCTATAGATCTGTTGTACAACAATGTGAATATACTTAGTGTCACTGACCTGTAAACTTAAAATAGTTAAGATGGTAAATTTAGTATTATATGTTTTTTGTCACAATGAAAAAAAAAATGGAAAAGAACATAAGACTTAGCAGCACATTTAACAAGCTTCATAAAGCAATAGGTTTCCTCATTTTTAGTTCTCTACAAAGAGGATGTGTAAAGTAATGTGTTTTCTCTTGGTATGTCTCACAGATATGCCCATAAGACTTTTGGTCCTAGATTTTAAAATACAAAAGAATTGTAGGGACTTGGTAATTATGTACCTTGTTCACAAACCTTAATTTAAATGGGTAACTTTAATAGATTACTAAGAATAAAGCAACAAAAAACAAGAGACAGAGAACAACTATACTAAACCCAATAAACTTTATCAAATGTGTATATAATTTAAGATGCTGGTGAGTAAAAAGAACAGAAACTTAATTTATCATCAATGCAGGCTTCTGAAATCTTACTATAGCTGTGACAAAGAACAATCACTTACTTTAAACTTAACTGCTTTACAGTTCCTGGTAGGAAACTAAAACATCTCATTTAGCCCCTTAGTCCCTTGCCAATGTCCTTTATACAAATGTTTATAGATTTTGTACTTTATGAAGTTCAAATTCCTTAGTATTGTTGAACACAACCATTCATACAAATACACATATATGGCAACTCAATCTTGTTTATCATTAAATGAGAATCATACATGATGTGGACAAACATGTACATACAGTATATGAATATTTTCATACATGCTTATATTAGTTACAGAAATATATATTTACATTAGCTTACTTATATGATAGTACGCCGATGCACATATAAATTTATTTACTTTAAAAACCAACCAATTTTTTAAAATAAAAGTTTATATGAAATGAAAAGATAGTTGCTGAGAGCTATTTCAAGTAAAGATAACATTGATCCTTCAACAGCCTTTTAATATAGTCTAGCCTGAAAAATTAAGTTTGTAATCAAAATAATTTATCACCATTGTTTGAATTTTAAAAATATATTAAAAAATAAAATAAAAAAATATTAGATTAACTCTTCAGTGACTACAGAACCACCAAAAAGCAGAAATAGAGACAAGTTCATAGTACAAAAGAAATAAATTGTTGAGCTTATCAATCGGATACTTTTTCCTAAAATCACTATATTCCCTTAAAGAAATTAAATTGAATATAAAAGTTGCAAATACAGGGTAACCTCCCATACTGAAAATGGTACACTTATAGATCTGTGAATATCTGCCTCCACAAATAGGCAATAAATCAGAAAGACACTGATATAAACATAAAATAATAAAACTAAAGGATGAGAAGGCACATTCTGAATAATACAACTTAGTATACAACTTACTTTTATTAAAGTAAAATCCTCAAAAATAATTATTTGAGGCTTAGAAAACTATATTTTTTATTACATCTTTTTAAAATCTTATGCAAAAACAAAAAGTACTTTCTTTCAAGGACTTTTTATCCACTCTACAAGTTTATCCACACTATAACATTCACAACAGAAATAAGAAAAAATAAAATTTTCTTGCAATCTGAATATTCTATGAAGCACCTCATTTTCTCCTAATTTTTCCTTAACCAAAAAAACAACAGATGACATTTCTATGGTGTAGAGTGCAATGTAGATTCTGTGTTATTTTCTTTTTATTTTATTTTATATTTTATTGATTTTTAACAGAGAGTAAGGAAGAGAGATAGAGAGCTAGAAAGTCGATGAGAGAGAAATATCAGCCAGCTGCCTCTTACACACCCCCTACTGGGGATGTGCCCGCAACCAAGGTACATGCCCTTGACCGGAATCGAACCTGGGACGTTTCAGTCCGCAGACTGACACTCTACCACTGAGCCAAACGGGCTTCGGCTGTGCTATTTTCTTTATCCTGCTTTTCTTCTTCATGTGGTGGATCTAATTCATTTCTGCTAGTTTCTTCCTCACTGGAATCACTGTCCAATCCACCTTCAACCCTGGCAGACGTCTTGTCATGCAAAGAACTTTCACAGGTTTTGTCTGTGGGAACAGCTCCTTTCCTCTGAGGTAAGACAGTAAAAAATGCTTCTTGCCAGTCTCTTGTTTGCAGGTATTCCAGAATAATCTCAAACACTGAAACAAAGACAAACTCTATGTATTTCTTAGCCAAGTTCATCATTATATTTTAAAATGCATTGCTTTTGTGTTAAGAGTGCTACAATGTCCTAATAATTTCTACTTTCATCTTATCACTTTCTTTCCCTGTTGGCTCTCAGAACTAATTTGCCTCAAAGCTCTCAAGCCTGTTCTTCAGCTTTTCCTCAATTCTATTCTTAAGCATTTAGAAGTTTACCGTTATTCCTTGTCAGTAATAATCAACAGACAGAGAATCCTTTTGCTTCCTTCCTATTCTTTATCCCTTTTACTTCTTTATCCTTTATTTGCTAACCTAAAACTAGAAAAAAAAAGAAAAAGGTTAGGATTAATCTAAATTTCTTCTATTTTCCTATATAGTGCCACTCACTCTAGGGACCATCTTGCCTGCTTTTTTTTCATATTTAATAAAATTTAATACTGTCTCCAAATTACTCTCACATTAATACATTGTTGAAGGTTCAATTTGGATTACTTCATGGAAAAGTAATTTCTACAAACTATCAAAGGTCTTAGAAGCTCAGTCCTGGAATCAATAAAAACTCCCTAGAGTCTACTATAAGTTCTTAACACATAAAAAGAGCCCAACAAACATTTGTATATCAACAAAGATCTCTACTAAACAAAACTCTAGACAAATTGTCTAAGAATGTCCTTTACATTGTTATTTGTAATAGTAACCAAAAAAATCAACAGAAGAATAATTATTGTATATTCAGATGATGAAATTTTATATAGCCATTAACAATAATTCAATAATATAGAAAAATATAATTATAAATGAGGGAAACACCCAGATTTATAATATTTCATGTAATAGAGTAAGAATCCAATTATGTTATAAATAATATTATATATGCATAAGGAAAGGAATTGGAAGGAAACACACCAAAAAGTTAATACTAAGTATCTCCAGGTAGTAAAATTATAGCTTGTTATGTTTTTCTGTATCTTCAAAATTTTATAAAATATGCGTATATTATTTCTATATTCAAACAAATTATAAATCATTACATTTTATAATTTTGTTTCCAGCAAATTATATATTTTATATTTTTCCAAAACATAAATGTAATGTTATTTTTCATAATGTTCACTCAGGTACATTTTCAGTTTATCTCCTTATAGCTTACCATGATTAACTGCCAAAACTTTTCTACTATTCATCTTCACAAAATTTCCAAGGGGTAGCTGTGCATGATCAATTCCATAATCTGATGCTTGTTTATATGTGAGTCCCTAAAACAAAGACACTATAACTTGAACTAGAACATTAAATTACTCTAACTTAAGGTCTACAACAGATAACTAATTTTTAAGAAAGACTTTAGTTCAGAGAACATTATCTGAAGTGTGTGTGTGTTCGTGTGTGTCTGTTTGACTGCTAATTTGGAAATATTATCTTGACTATAAGAATAATCAAAATGTTTACAAGAGAGGAAACCCCAAACACATGTTCCCTGCTCTGCCACAAAGCTCTTCAGTGGCAGAACCATAGGAAAAACTTGGTCCATTCCTCCTGATTCAAATACCTTTTCACCGTTCCATACCATCTTTCTCTTAAAGTTTAAAATACTCAATCAGAACTCTTAGAAAAGTACCATCACTCTTTCCATGAATACAAAAGACATACAGATAAAATTCTGTTTCATTTACATAACACTAGGAGGCGCATATAACCAAACAAATTCTATAAATTCAAAAAATATTTTAATTGCCTATAAATTTAATTTTCCCTTCTGTCAATTAAAAGAATATTGAATATGAATTTTCGTTCTTTTCAAAATTAAAATCCTTAAAGCCTGGGTCTAACCAAAACTGAAATAGTCAAAAGACAATACAGAGAAGGAAGAAATAAATTTCTCAACCAGTAGTTTGCATATTTTAGGGACAAATAATAATGATTGAGGTAAATGCTTTTGAAAACAAAAGTGTTTTAGTTCAAAAACATACAACATGAAAGATAAAAATTTGGTTTTATATAAATAACAAAATAGAACATTTCCACTAAGAAAATAATAAAAAGGGTAAAGGTCATTCTGATAAAATTCCCTCTGATGCTATAGAGATGCACTGTCCAATTAGAGCCACATGTGACTATTTAAGTTTAAACTGATTACAACTTTAAAAAAATTCTGTTCTCAATTACACTATACACATTTCATGTGTTCAATAGCCACAGAACTACCACAATGGATAGAATGATAAAAAGTATTTCCAATATTAGAAAAAGTTCTACTGCACAGTGGTGCAACGTAAGAATAATGAATTTGCATTTTTCTGCTGGCAATATTTCATCAGACACTTAGTAAACATGCTTTTTCTTTAGTTGGGTTGAATTTAGCATGTTGTTAAGAGGCTGGCAAAGTACACAATGATATTTTCTGTTAAAAAGTCTACTTCTATAATTTTTCATTTAAATGAGGATGAGGAGGTAGAGACAAAAGTAGAAATATAAGAGACCAGAAAACACATCTCATGAAAATCACATATTTAAAATATAAATGATCAGTTTGGTTATAAATTTTGTCATTGGCTTAGAAATCGATTAGCAGCAGCATCTTCTATCATACAGCATATTGTTTAAGCATCTGGGCTCCAGAACAATTTGCCAGGTTTCAAATATCTGCTTTACTGCCGACTTCTATTGACTTCAGACTTATTTTCTTTAGGCTTCCATGTCCTCAGCTTTAAAATGCAGACAATATCAGCACTGACCACACTGGTTTATAGTGAGGATTAAACATAGTAATATATGGGGTGGGGAGTGCAAAAGTAGGTTTACAGTTGTACGTGAAACAGTTTATTCTTATATTATTATTAATTAATTATTGTATTACTTTCCAAACAAATAACAGTAAACCTACATTTGCCCTGTATTGTATGTGAAATGTTTTGCTTAGCCAGAAAGGTGATTGAAATATAGCTGGCACTCAGTAGAGATGAGCTATCAGCAGTATTATTGCTACTATCAAAATGTATTATTGTTACTATTAAGAAAATTGATATATCAATGTTAAGTATAGGCAAAAGCAAAAATAAAAACTTAGTACCTTTTGATGGTTGTGATCTACTAATCCTCCAATCACATAAGCCTTTGATTCATCTAATTCCTTCAGTACATTAGGTGAATCTGATGTAAGATAAATCAGATCTTCTTTCTTTATCAATTCAATATAGTGTTCTGGTTTAATGTGGATATCCTTTAAGACACATGGGAACAGATGTGATTAATCAATAGGATTTTGTGAAAATTGGCTAATCAATTTGAAAGGAAGTAAATCATATGAAAAGAAGTCTGAAAGAAGTTGCAATGAATTATTTACAACTTACTACTTTTACTCCTCACCTCACAGTAATTATTGTGCGTCCCTAAAACAAAGTGTTTTAGTTCAAAAACACATATAACATGAAAGATAAAAATTTGGTTTTATATAAGTGACAAAATAGAATATTTCCACTAAGAAAATAATAAAAAGGCTAAAGTCATTCTGATAAAACAAAAGATGTTTTATCAATTATTTAAGTGGCCTCCTGATGCTATTGCCCTGTCTTTAGCCTCAGATCCCTTCAATGGTAGACTCATTTTCTAAAAACAATACTTTCCATGTTTTATTTTCATCTGTAGGATAAAACGGAAATTCCTTAACTTTGTAACTCTTTCCTGGATGTGGCACTAACCAACCCTTTCATAATTTATTTCTGCTCCAACAAAACAAAAGCATTTTGTCATATATTTGCTCACATTATTTCCTGGCTTTTTCCAATTATTTCTTCTTTGATTATATGAAATCATCAAAAGAAAGTGGCTGTAGATTTAATAAAGTCCATGTATCCATTTCTACAAAGATCACATATAAAATCATCTCTATTAAAACTGTTAGGTCAGAGGTACAAAACTGAACAGCAGTTGGTAGTCAGAATTTTGCAAACTATATTGATAAAAGAAAAGAAAATACATTAGCCCTAACTGGTTTGGCTCAATGGATAGAGCGTCGACCTGCGGACTGAAGGGTCCCAGGTTCGATTCTGGTCAGGGCATGTACCTTGGTTGTGGGCACATCCCCAGTAGGGGGTGTGCAAGAGGCAGCTGATTCATGATTCTCTCATAGATGTTGCTAACTCTCTATCCCTGTCCCTTCCTCTGTGTACAAAAATCAATAAAATATATACATAAATATATATATATATATGTATATATATAAAAGAAAATACATCATCATTATATATATATATATATATATATATATATATATATATATATATATATGAAAATAAAAAATAAAGCAGGACCTAAAATGTATAACCTATCCTATATAATAAAAACCTAATATGCTAAGTGTCCAGTCACTGGTCATCCATTCAACCAATCCAAGCATAATATGCTAATGATATGCTAAGGCTACTCAATTGCTCCCTATGACATGCACCGACCATTGGGAGCAGACAGTCAACCAGTCAACCAGTCGCTATGACATGCACTGACCACCAGGGGGCAAATGCTCCAAATGGTAGGTTAGCTTGCTACTGGGGTCCGGCTGATGGGGACTGAGCAAGATGGGCCAGACATACCCTGGAGCCCTCCTGTCTCCATGGTAGCCCTAAGTATGTCCAACTGCTGCCATAGGCATGCGGGGAATGGGCCTAAGCTGTCAGTAGGACAACCCCCAAGGGCTCCTGGATTGCAAGAGGGTGCAGGCTGGGCTGAGGGACCACCCCCCATGAGTGCACAAATTTCATGTACAACTGAAAAAGGTTATAAGTTTGTGTCCTGTATTTAATAAGAGCCCCAAGAGGGACTTGAAATAAAAGACCAGTGAACTTACATTTTTCTGGAAAGCTGGTGGGTGGAAATAATAAATTTAACAAGCCACAAAATAACTGAAAGTATGCCTTTTCTAACTGATTACATTATTTCTCAGGAAAATAGAACAGATCATAAAACTTGGTAAATATATTGTACTTAAAACTTAAAAAGCCTTTAAAAATGTTTTACACTATAGGCTATTAATAAAATAAATGCAATCATTATGGGATTAAAGAGTGTAAGAGGAAAAGTTTGTCATGGTGAGAACTGGTTTTGAGAAAGAAAAAAAAAAAAAGTACCAGAATAATCCAGTACTTCTCTGAATAGAATAGGATTCCTCATGAATTGATACTAAAGCCAATCTATTAGTCATTTTTACAAATGACTGAGAATGGTTTAGTCCTATAAAAAATGTGACCCACCTATGTAATTTTAAATCTTCCTGTGGCCATATTTAAAAAAAAAAAAAAGTGAAAAGAAATGTGAAATTAATTTACTAATACATTGCATTCAACACAATATACCCAAAATGTTATCATTTCAACATGTAATCTTTTTTAAAATTTCAAGGAGATATTTTACTACATTCTTTTTGGGGGGATAGATACCAAATCTTTGAAATCTAATATATATTTCACATTTATAGCACAACTCAATTTAGACCAGTCACATTTTAAGAATTCTCTTTTTTTTCTTTTTTTTTTTTTTTTTAAATATATTTTATTGATTTTGTACAGAGAGGAAGAGGAGATATAGAGAGTTAGAAACATCGATGAGAGAGAGTCATCGATCAGCTGCCTCTTGCACACCCCCTACTAGGGATATGCCCGCAACCAAGGTACATGCCCTTGACCGGAATCGAACCTGGGACCCTTCAGTCCCCAAGCCGACGCTCTATCCATTGAGCCAAACCGGTCTCAGCACATTTTAAGAATTCAATAGCCACATGTGGACATAGGAAAGTACAGATTTAGAAGCAACAATGCAAGTACATTTTCAAATTTTAGAGCGACTTCACTCTTACAAATAATGCAATGCCAGTTTGCTAGGTAGAGGCTGAATAAATACGTTTAAATTTTTTCCTTTTAAAAAATATCTTTTAAAGTTGGGGGCAAAATAGAAGTGAGATTTAGTGAGAGCAAGTACATCACAGTCTTTTTAGCTTCCTTTATTCCTTTAAACTTAGGTAGGTACAGTGACACACAGGGTTTGGAGACTGGTGACTCCTATATTTATTAACATTATGTAGAATTTGGGTAAAAAATGTAGACCTTTAAGTTTGAAACTATGTGAAATTATGGGAGAATTAATCTACTGTAGTTACCTTCCAGTTGACCCATCCTTTGTCATTTTCATCCATGTTCTTTTTCAATTGGCCCCCATGGCTTGTCAAGTAAAACTGGTAGAGTCATCAGCAATGAAAGAGAGCAAATGACTATTAAAGTGCAACATTTTATTTCCCTTATACACTAATTTGATTGTCAATGAAATACAATATTTTCATTCTAGAAAAAAATAAATCTGTGGCATGCTTTAAACATACAAGAATAAACTTGTGGTAGAAATGACAAGAATTAGCAGTATTTTGTGTAACTTCTACCACAATAACTTCCTTATTTCATCTACATTTTTATCCCATTTTTCAAAGCACCCATACTCAGTCTTTCCCTTCAGGATCACTGTTCTATAAACACCCGTTTTTATGCCAAGTTCTCCTTCACCTTCTTTTGCCACCACTATTAGAATTCTCTGATTCTGAAAACTGATACTATTTCAAGTCTAAGCAAGGATGGGAAGAATATAAAATGTAAAGATATAAAATTACTATCATTTGATAAGAAGAAAATATCTAACCAAAATATATTAAGAATTTCTAGTTCTCAGCCTCAGTGAGGCAGTGTTAATTTTAGGTCACTGAAAAGTCAAACAGTAGGCAGCTCTTGATAGTAGGCAGCTAGTCTCACAAAGCGCTCCCTCACTCTAGCTAAGGAAGTACTTTTCAAAATTATCAGTTACTCAGATTTTTTTAAGTAGAATAAACCTACCAACAGGTAACACAGCACATATCAGTTCCCCCTATTCTACAGAATAGAAGGAATGAGAGCTAAGAAACCAGTATGAAAATATGCATACATCCTTCAGTGAAGATGTTCAACTATACAGAAATAAGCAGGTCACTGTGGACAAGACTGATGATAACTGGGCAGTGTGTCTGAGAACGAAGTATGAGAAAAACTGTTTAAAATATTTTACTTAATCTTTACAGAAAACATGTTTCCAATAGGCATTTTGTTCTCGAAGAAGGATTATCTGCTAAGACACTTGTAAACTCAGTCAGGATTATCTATGCTGTTAACCAAGGGAAATAATAAAAAGGAAATTGGAGTCTGTTTTAAATTTCTCAAACATACCTGCACCGGATGCAGTGCTCGTCGATTTTCTGCATAACATCGTTGAATCTGTTTATGAAGTTTCTTAATATCCTATAAAAAAGATTTTAAAGCACCATTTTCAAAACCATCTATGGCCATTCCACAATCTTAGTGAAACAGAATAAGCAGAAGAAATAACTAGACAGGTACATTTTTTTCTTTTGAAATACAAGTCCTTTCTGATAATTTCCATTCAATTTCCTTACATAATTTACAAAATTACTATAAGTCAACACTCTGAAAGTGAACCATTATTTCATATTCTGTCTCCACTTATTTAAAAAAATGCGAGTTTAAGAAAAAATTTACTTTTAAAGAGTCAGCAAAACAAAAACAGAATTCTCTTAGAGCCATTATATTACTATTTTTATAACTTATCAATGGCTTGGAAAGTAATTAAAGTATGTTCTCTTCACTAGCATCGTTTAAATAACCATGCTTCTCAAACTATTAAATAAGAAGTAATTCTATTAAGACAATCATACTTCTTATTTTCTTAATTGTGATTAGGACAAAGAAAACCACTCACAGATCTTTATGATCAATATGCAGTTATTGAGTTTTATAATCTAATCATGGTGTTTGTCTATCCTGTCAACACACACAAATATATATACATAAGAGGAATTTATTAGCTAGTTTAATTTAGGGGACACAGAGCTTGAAAAACTTGATTTAAGATGCATTTTAGTACATAAATATATGTACTAAAGTGATATTACAGATTAAAGTAAGAAATATTTAGCCTAGTTTACCTACAGGGTTTTTCTGAAAATGATTCATACCTTTAATACCATCAAGCTGTCAAAACTACAGTCAATGATAAGGCGAAGTGTGCTGCGAACAACATCTCTTCGAATGCGTTTTCTATCATTTCCATCTGAGTTTGATTCCAGTTGACACTGCCGCTCCAATTGTTTTCTCTTGCGTTTTTCCTTCCTCTTTTGTCTAAAATTAGTATTGAAATAACTTTTTGGTGTTTGTTATTTATAGATTCACATACCAAGACTCCTCTAAATAGAGAAAGAAACAATTACTTTTTTAAATCAGCAGGCTAAACCAAATGAAATTGCCACTTTTGTGGGTCAAAATTGGTCAAATATCAGCAATTTTATACAGTCCATCTAAAAATTTTAGAAAGGAATAAAATGGGTTTGTAAAGACAGTATAATGCTTTTTACACAAATCTTAACTATTAATTCATTTATTATCGGTATCATCTATACTAATAATAGCCTAAGGCCATCATGACCCAAAGGACCAGACAGATGACCGGTCAGCAGAAAGTGCATGGAGCACCTCTTAGTCCCTCCCGTGAGGTTTTTTAGCCTCCGGCCTGAGCCGGGCCAGAAGTGTAATGACCTTGCCGCTGCTGCTGTGGTTGTGGATCAGGCTGAGAGGCAGGGCCTGATCAGCAGCCTCTGTGGCAGCTGGTGAGGCCTGGGGAGAGAGAGAGAGAGAGGTGGGGCCTGATCCGCAGCTGCCATGGAGGCTGCAAATCAGGCCCGAAACGGCAGCTGTCAGTGGGGCCATTCTGGATTTCCCAGAAGAGCCAATGGCTGCCTAGGAGGCAGAGCTTTTGACACTGACTGGCATAGAAACCGACCAATCAAAACCTAATCTGAGTGAACTGCAAAAGCAGAACCTAAGGGGGCTGAGGAGGGGTTTTAAGGGCAACAGCTGTTTGTTGTTAAGGTGTAAAGAAAGCGGTTCAATTTTTTAAATAACTGGTTTGCAGTATAGTGCATATGGCTAGCTATCAGTCCAGATATAGAGGTTATATATTTTTGTCTGCCAAGAGCATCTTGTCCTAATGAAAAAGCGCCCCCCTCCCTTTAAGCAATCCTATCCTATATAATCTATCCTATATAATAAAAGTCTAATATACAAATGAACAGAACAGTGGAATGACCGGTTACTATGACATGCACTGACTACCAGGGGCAGATACACAACACAAGAGCTACCCCCTGGTGGTCAGTGCACTACCACAGGGGAATGCCGCTCAGCCAGAAGCCATGGTAGCAGTAAGGACCCCTCAGGGGACGTCTGACTGTGGGGAGTAGGCCTAAGCTAGCAATTAGACACCCCCCAAGGAGACCCAGACTGTGAGAGGGTGCAGGCAGCGCTGAGGGAACGATCCCCACCCAGTGTGTGAATGTCATGCACCAGGCCTCTAGTCTATACTAATAAAAGGTTAACATGCTAATTAAACTGGGTTGACCAGCCATCTTCTGGACATCTGAATTACTTCCAGACAAAGCCATGGTGATGGGTGCCGAGGTAGAAGCAGTTAGGGATGACCACGCCGGCAAGGGAAGGCAGTTGGGGGCAAGATCAGGCCAGCAGGGGGTTAGTGGCAATTGGGCTAGCAGGGGAGGGCAGTTGGGAGTGATCAGGTAGGCAGGGGAGAGCTGTTGGGGGCAATAAGGACGACAGGGGAGCAGTTAGGGATGATCAGGCAGGCAGAGGTAGTTAGGGACAATCAGGCAGGCAGGCAGAGGCAGTTAAGGGTGATCAGGCAAGCAGGCAGAGAGGTTAGAGGCAATCAGGGAGAGGAGTTAGGGGCAATCAGGCAGGCAGAAGAGTGGTTAGGAGTGATCAGGTAGGCACACATGAGAGCAGTTAGGAGCTAGTGGTCCCAGATTGCAAGAGGGTTGTCCCTGATCTGAGAGGGTGCAGGCTGAGCTGAGGGAACTCCCCCATGCATGAATTTTGTGCACTGGGCCTCTAGTATTATAGTAAGAAAACTTTACAAATATTTAATGTGAGTTGTGATATGTTTCACTTGTATCATTCTTCCCCTACATGATTTTCAAGCAACATTTATATGGTGTAGAAAAAAAGCAAAGTAAAATAGTTAGTGAAAAAAATCTCATATACTTTTTTTCTCTAATCAGCATCAACTATAGTTTATTTTCTCTCAGTAACTTTTGGCATTATACAGGGGTGAGCAAAAGTAGGTTTACAACTGTAATACAAAAAAACACAACAAATAGTAATACAAGAGTAAACTGTTTCGTTTACTCACAACTGTAAACCTAGTTTTGCCTATCTGTTTAATAACAGCCTCAACCTAACTGTTCTCAAAACCTGCAATAGTTCTTCTAGAAAAATCAATGTTAAGCCTAAATTTGATCTTTCTGAGGAGGCTATTTTTGTTCCATATCTGGGACATGAATGCTAATTATATGCCTTTCCTAAGTTGGTTATTTCAGAAACTGTGCTGCTACTCACAATAGATTTTGGGTGAGAAAAAGTGTACAGTGTAAATTCATAAACACTGCTAAAAAAAAATTCAAAACATAACATAGTTTTAATAGCCAATTGACAGTATTAGCTAACAATATGCATAGTCCCAATTTTAATTAACACAATTACTTTTAATGTGTCAAAGGGACCATGAAAGGCCCAACTTTCCACATTTTTGAATAGGGGTAGAATGCATTTTGAAACATACTTGCGGAGTTCTCGTTGTTCTTCCCATTGTTTCTGTTTTATTAGCTTTTTCATTTGTCGTTTAGATATTGGTTCAAACTTTTCATCTAATCTTAGCTTCTGACTTTCCTCTTGATCTTCACTTAAGTCTTGCTTTCTTTCAACATTAGAAGTCTCAACAATTGCTGGCACCATTTCAGATGACATTATTTGATGCCTCTGAAAAATTGAAAAGCAACTTTAACAGATTATTCACACACAGTAAACACCAAATGACTAAGACATTTGATTGAAATTAAACCATTTCAGAAATAAATAAAAATAAAAATTTAGCTCTGGCTGGATGGCTCAGTTGGTTGGAGCATCATCCTGTACACCCAAAGGCTGCAGGTTCGATTCTGGTCAGGGAACATACCTAGGTACCTAAGTTGAGGGTTCTATCCCAGTCAATGTACAAGAGGCAACAATCAATGTCTCTTTCTCTTTTATCTATCTATCTATCATCTATCTATCATCTCTTCCTCACTCTCTAAAAATCAATTAACATATACTCACCCAAGGATTTTTTTTAATGAAATTTTACACAATTAAATGTTATTTACTGACAAAGATCATGTAATGAAATGGGGTGGTTTTATGGCACAATTTTTCCAGAGGGAAACACAGATTTATGTCTCAAGAGCTTTAAAATACTGATACCCTTCACTAAGTAATTTACTTCCTTAGAATAAATTCCTGTAAATGAATGAGAAATATACACAAAATTAATGCAAAAGGGTATGCAGTAGTCCCTTTATCTTCAGTGGATACATTCTAAGATCCCTGATGGATGCCCAAAAAAGTGGCTAATACTGAATCCTATATTTACTATTACTATGTTTTTTCCTAAACATATAATAAATTTATATTATAATCAAAATAAAATACTAAAATTAATTTATATTTATAAATATGTTTATATTATATTAGCATTTTCTAAATTTTATATATTGAGATTATGTTGTTTTATAATATAAAAATATTAAACACTTAAAAGTATTTTTAAATCTCATCCGAGGTTATTTTTCCAGTGGTTTTTTTAAAGGAGGGATGCAGGGGATAGAGAAAGAGAGAAACATCAATGTGAGACACATCAACTGGCTGCCTCCCGCACACACCCTAACTAGGACTGGGGATATACACTCATCATTAGTTTTTTACAAAAAATATGCTACAGACCTGTGTAGTTTGGATAGTACAGAAAACAAATTTGGTTGTCCCACCTCCATATATTTCATTATCAACATATAATTGTAAATATTCCACTTTAGTCATGGTTAAAAAAATATTTAAGTTGATTCTGAAACCAGTTGTAGAATACTTAAGGCCATCTCAAACATCTTTATTTGGATTTAGCCACCCAAACCTTTGTGTCTATTGCCCAGAACTGAACTTCTCTTCACATTAGGCAAAAAAAGCTAAAAATACTGAGATTTCTCTTTAACAGATTTTTAACACCAAAGCTCAAAAATGTATTTATTATTTATCCCTACCAAACACTAAGCATTAAGCTTGCAAATTTTCTACCCTGTTTCCCCGAAAATAAGACAGTGTCTTATATTAATTTTTTCTCCCAAAGTTGCGATAGGTCTTATTTTCAGGAGATGTCTTATCTTTCCATGCACTAGGTCTTATTTTCGGAGGATGTCTTATTTTCATGGAAACACGATAATAGCCTTAAAGAAAATTATATGATTTCTCCTACTTATAGAAATAGATAAGAAATCTGTGCAGAGAAGATAACATCAAAAAGAAAAATCCACACAACTCAGATAATGAACGGACAAAACCTTTGCAGAACATAATTTAGGTAGTAGTTTTGTTTTCTTGTTCTTGCTTTCTTTAAAAGTACAATGTTATAATGGACATACAGGGATAACCAAGCAAACTTGGAAAGTTTACCAAATTTTGACTGAGAGATAAGAAATTTTAAGATGTGCTTGGGAAGCTACATAAAAAACCCTAGTATTTTACTAAGTCACAAAATTACTAAAAAGGAAAATGAATCATCTAGTAATCCAAGTAAGAGTTCAAAGTTTTCCTTAAACCACTAACCCAACAGTATCCTTAGTTTACAGACACATCTGCTAGACATGACAACTCAAATTTGACTCTACACGGAAAACTCCATATGGATAGGAATGACGTCTACTTTTGCCCAACATTATATTGCCAGTACTAGAAAACCTATTTGAAGAAATAATGACAGAAAACTTCCCGGATATGGGGAAGAAAAAAATTACACAAGTACAGAGAGTCCCAAACAGGATCAACCCCAAAAGACCCACACCAAGTCACATCATAATTTCAATGGCAAATATATTGCCAGTACTAACATGGTGCCTGGCATGAAGCTGTTTATTATATATTGGTGAAATAAATAAATGAGTGACTATGGTATTATTACAAAGGATTTTTTAAAATAATGAAAATAGTAATAGCAAACAATTCTTACAGTGCTTAATTTAAATCCTTAAAGCCAACCTTCTGAGGTAGACAGTGTTATGCCTACTTTATAAAGAAGGCACAGTTGAGATTAAATTACTTGCCCTAAATTACAAAACTGCTAAATGATTCCTAAGAAACAAGGCAGCTAGAACAAATTTAGCGCAAAGTGGGTCCTCAAAATACTTTTTGGATGAATAGATAAATGAATAGGATTAAGCTTCAAACACAGATCTAACACTATTTTCCAGGAATCCAAAATCTTATTTAGAAAATAAGGATTTTCAGAGAACGTAAAAGAGCTACGCCACTTCAATCCTGCTGTTGGAGGGCTGAGATTTGTCTCTCTGAAAGGAGGGAAAACAGCTTTATTAATATGCTACCGAATAAAAAAATTAGACAGACTTCCAAGAGATGATAGCCAAAAGTTCATGTTCTGAGACACCATGATTCCCAGGCTTGAAATACATGATAATCTATACTAATAAAAGACTAATATACTGATTAGACTGGGAATCTTCCAGACATTCTTCTGGACGTCCTTCCGGACAAAGCCATGGTGGCAAGGCTGAAGCAAAGGCAGTTTGTGGCTATCAAACCAGGAGGGGAGGGCAGTTGGGGGTGAGTAGGACAACGGGGGAGGGGGGGACAGTTTATAGTGAGCAGGCTGGCGGGGGGCAGTAGGGGACAAGCAGGCTGGCAGGCAGATTAGGGGCGATCAGGCAGGAAGGCAAGCAGTTAGGAACCAGTGGTCCCAGATTGCTAGAGGGATGTCCCAGATTGGAGAGGGTGCAGGCGGGGCTGAGGGATCCCCCCACCCCTGCATAAATTTCGTGTACTGGGCCACTAATACTAAATAAAAGATAAAAAGGGAAAAACAAAAAAGGTATAGCGAAAACAAGAACCAAAGAAGAACTAGAATAGTTTGCTGTTGGGTCTGCTGTGCAAAGGCAATTGGAAGTTTTCCTAGATTTAAAGTAGGGGAATAATAATAATCCAAGAAAGAAGGTAGGAGAGATGGGAGACTGTTTAAGATGAACACTTAACTTATTGTGGGAGGCGGGGCTTTTTCATGAAAAAAGGCTGAAAACGGGTAAAATGAGTCTCGCTTATAAGAAGCTGTGAACTTGAGGGAAACTTGAAGGAAGCAGAAACAGCCTCTGGGCCAAGCCACTGAGGTGATATATGAACTTATGACACTACATGATTAGAATTCTGAATCACCTATACAAACTCTACTGTGGACTGAAGCACTGAACAGGGCCATGAGTGGGAGCAATCACAAAATCAGTACTAGACAGTGGGTGTGCAGAGAGAAGAGGCTAATTCCATTCAATATTAGTCTGCAAAGCAAAATTACAAAAAGAAAAGTTAAAAATAGAAACAACAAAATCAATAATCAGGAGATAAATTCATTCTATATAAACTGGGAATAATAGAGTGATATGAAAATGACTTTAAAATGAAGTGGTTGGAATCTTTCAGAGACTACAAGGAATAAGAACTATAAAAACAAAATAGAAAATTGGGACACAAAAGAATACATGAAATAAGAATACATGAAAAAGAAGCCATTTGGAAACCAGCGAGAGAAGATATAAAAATTTCAACAAATGAGATAAACTCCAGATTACCTGTAGCCAAAGAGGTAGCCCTGATGAATTAGAAGACATCCTGATCATCTGACTCAGAGTTCAGACAGATATACAAAATGAAATATACCAGTGTGTGTGTGTGTGTGTGTCTCAGATTATGATGATCTCTGAATACATAATAATCTCAACACTCAGTGTATATCCTATATAATAAAAGGCTAATGTGCAAATTGTCCCCTCAACCAAGAGTTCAACTAGCAGACAAGCGGGCCAACCACCCATATTCCCTCCCCCTGGCCAGGCTGGCCGGACCCCACCCATGCACAAATTCATGCACCGGGCCTCTAATATATATATCACACACCCACATGCATACACTCAGTGGCCAGATTATGCATTCAGAGATCAGTGTATATATTTGTGTGTGTATACATGTATATGTATATGTATATATGTATATACATACATATATGTCAAAGCAGTTAGAAGACCTGAATTATAGAATGAAAAATAGAAGCAAAAAGGTAGAGATAAACGTATAATCTTGAGTATATTCATTAATAATTTTTAAAAAGCTGAAAAAATAAAGCATTCCATTTTAAGAACAGAGACAGAGAAAATTCAATAAGCATGAAAACATCAGGAGAAAATTTTAAAATAAATATTGTGATCCCCAGGATCACTTTTATTTTACTTTCTTTCCATTGATACTACATTAAAGTCAGTAATGCATGTATCCAAAACAGTGTTGGGTGGAGAAAGCATAAGTTAAGCCTGTTCATTAAGCTAAACATGCAAACTTAAAAGCACAATTAAAATTCACAGGAAACAAATTACTCTTTATAAAACAATAATATTTTAGAGAGACTATTTCTATTACGATTGGCATAGTTTGTTTTTTCCTAGTTCTCTATTATATTAAAAAACTGCAAGTGTTGATTGGCTCTATAATATGAAAATTTAAAAAACAATTTACAGCAACATTTTACAGCTCCGGTACACCAGGGGGAGCTTTTGCCTTTCCTATCTAAGTACGAGTTAAATTTAACGTGGCATAGTAACATTTTTAAATACCCTGTCAAATACATCGCAAAATCTTACACTAGTCAACATCGTTATCATTTCTAA